GACAGCCTGGCGAGGTGGTGTGGAGTCCACACGCTGGCACATGGCATCATCTGCATGTGGAAGGCCCTCAGGAAATGCTCGCGTGCTTGTGTGTGTGCATGCATGTGCATGTGCGTGTGTATAAAGTGGTGTCCACTGCTGTGAATCTGCATGAGTGGGCTTCCCCGGTCTTTTCTAGGTCATACCTGGGAATGCCTGGGAGAGTGGGTGGAGCTGGCTGTCTCCACCTCCTCCCAGTTGTAGGTCCTTGATCAGGAAGGTGCCTGTGATGAGAGGAAGGCTCAGGACAGGCAGTTCCCACAGAGGCGAGAGAAAGGGCAGGAGAAGGGGACAAGATGCTGGGCATCCCTGCACCAGGCACTGTGCGAGCTGGTTTGGAGGCAACATTACTTTGTTGACTCCTTCCCACACTCGGTGAGGTCTTTATGAAGACCCGCATCTTACATATGGGAAGATGAAATCCACAGGGTGCCAAGGACTTGCCAAAGCCATGCAGTGCCCGTGTGGAGCCCACCCCAGATTGGGGCTTGTCAGCCCCCAAACTCCTCGCCAGGGCTCAGTAGACGCAGCTGCGTTTCAAGCATGTGGTGGAGGCGAGGAGCTGCTTGTCTGTAGACCTGCCTCCTGAGAGCAAACCTTCTAGGCTTCGCTGTATTCTGCTTGGCATCCCTTCCCTTAGGTGCAGACACATTTCTTTGGGAAAATGCTGAAATGGCCTGGGCTGACCCAGGGAGGAGAGAGAATGGTCACTCACACCCACAGAGCCAGGGTGGCCAGACCAGCCTGAGAAAGGAACTGAAGGCAGAGTGTGGCAACCAATGACTGTTGGGGATGGCGGACAGGGGACATGCAAGGCAGGGTGTGTGCAGAATATGCATTTCTAGGTCATTTCGGGGGTTGCCTTCTGCCTTTCTCAGCTTGTGAAGGACTTTCCCACAGACAGAAAAGCACGGACCATTAAAATCCAATCTTCATGTACAAAGAGCGAAACCAAAGCTCAGAGGAGGGAAGGAACCTTTACCGAGTCACCCAGCAAGCAAGTGCAGGAGGAGAGGCTCCCTGACGCGTGTTCTGCCTGGATAGTCATGTATTCATTTGTCCCTCCATCCGTGGGTTCATCGAACACCTGATCTTGGTATATAAAGACTCAGTTCAAAGCAGACATGGTCCCTGCCTAGACTGAGCCGGGATACAAGTGCAGACGCGCTTAGTACAGGGGCAGGGTCGAAACAGGATGCTGCGGGATGGGGTGAAGGTGCTGTGTCCTTGGCCAGGCAGCGGGGAGGAGGTAGCACTCGAGATGAGGCCTGAAGAATGACGGGGAGCTGGCCAGGGGAGAGCAGCGGGGTGGGGGGACATTAATGGCTAAAGACTTACAAGTAGGAAAGCCCTCAGAGCATTTGAGGAACCGGTCAATAAATAAATAAGCCACAGACAGTGAGGACAAGAAGGGAGCCAGGAGAGGTCTAAGAAGCGTGGAGATCAGATCCTGCAAGGCCTTGAACGCGGGGCAAGGACTCGAGGTCTTATTTGAAGCGAGAGAATCGTTGAGTTTTTGCCTGTGTGAGGTGCAGCAGGAAGCATGAGCGGACTCAGCTGTGAGACTGTCCCTCCTGGGCCCTAGAGCCCAAAGGGAAAGAGCTACCGAGAGAATCGTGCGGGAGACATTAGAGGTAACTGGATCATCCTAATGTTAGGATGTGGGCAAGGGCAGGGGAAGGGGACAGACAAGGGCAGGGGAAGGGGACAGACGAGGGCATGGTTGAGCTGAGGACAAAGAGGCCGCCCAAGTCAGGGAGGGGGGAGAGCGCGGACAGTAGGCAAGAAAGGTGTCACAGGCGGTGACATCTGAGCTGGTGGGGAATCTGACTCAGCACACATGTATTTAGCATCAGGTATCTCCCGAGCGTTAGGCCGTGTGCTGGGGCTTTTGCATATTTCTTCTTGTTTGTTCCTCAAAACCATATGAAATACTGTATTTTTTTTAAATCACATTTTTATAAATGTAGAAACTCAAGGGTATGGCAGTGAAGGGATTTTCTCAAGATTGTTCAGCAGGTATGAGGCAAGCGAGGATGCCACCCCAGGCCTCCTAGCTCCCAGGATGGTCCTCTCCCCACTCAACGTCAGTTGTTAGGTTTGGGCTTGGCTCTGCCCTCAGTTCTCCCACCTAGACTGGAGGGTTTTCTCTATGCCTTTTCCAGTTCTAAAATTCGGTGCTGCTTTGGAGGTGAAGAGGTTGTGGGAGAATATTCTAGATTGGAAAGTATAGCCTCCCCAACAGCATGGAGGCTGGGAAGAAAATATCCTATGCAGGGAACAGCAGCAAGAAGTCTTGCCCAGCGTCAAGCACCTGTGGCTTTAAATTGACTAGAGAAGCAGATAGGCTGGCCGGGAGTGCAGCGACCGTCAGAGAGGAGAAGTGAACATCCACTCCTTCTATGGACTGGGCCCTGGAAAATGAGAATGAACGAGACCCACATGGTCCTGCCTCATCGAGTGAGAGAGGAAACACATGTATATGCATCTATGTGTGTATATGGTTGAGCTCTGAGCATGTAACACACTGTGTACTAGGTGTTTTCCGTCACTTCCTTCACTCATCCCTCATCACCACCTCAGGGACACACATGCTGTCACCATTCCCATTTCACCAAGGCTCAGGGAAACTGTCACATGCTCCAGGTCACACCTCAGTTAGGGACAGAGCTGCTGGGGCTGATACTTCGATCTTCCTGTTCATTCTTACATTTTAAATTATTGCATAATTGCAGGATGGGGAGAGGGGAGG